AATCCAGTCACTCTTGATGGCGAAACCCTGGAGGATGTGGAATTGTTCACATACCTGGGAAGCATCGTCGACAAACAAGGAGGTTCAGATGCAGACGTAAAGGCGAGGATTGACAAAGCAAGGACAGCATTCCTTCAATTAAAGAACATATGGAACTCAAAACAACTTTCAACCAACATCAAAGTCACAATCTTCAATACCAACGTCAAGGCAGTTCTACTGTACGGAGCTGACACTTGGAGAACTACTACAACCACCATCAAGAAGGTATAAGTATTTATCAATAGCTGTTTACGCAAGATACTCAACATCCATTGGCCGGATACCATCAGCAACAGCCTTTTGTGGGAGAGAACCAACCAGCTTCCAGCTGAAGATGAAATTAGGAAAAGACGATGGAAATGGATAGAACATACATTGTGGAAATCATCAAACTGCATTACGAGACAAGCGCTAACTTGTGCCATATTTCAGGAAGAGATGAATAGTGTAGTTGTTCAATCTGGAAAAATGAATTCTTGATATTCCACGTATAACGTGAGCACTAGAACACCAGAACCCTTCCAAGTCCCAATGAGGAGACAGAAGACTAATGAAAGGAATATTATTACAAACAGTGTCGATTTTAGTACAAAACTGTCAGGTATTTTTAGTTTTTAGTAAGAGTGAAATCATCATTAGAATCCTCCATTCCGCATACAGGGTATTATAGGCATTGTCCAGTCGGAAGCTACACGTGAGAGTTCTAAAATATTTTTCCGTAAGGTGATTGGATGGAATGTCTTCGGCTCCTTCTGAGACTCTTACAGCTTCTTCGAGTTCACCCGTGTTCAGTCGTCACACCTCCTCCTTTAAAGTCTGTCGTGTAAGATTTCTTTTTCGGATCCACCTGAAACTTTGTTGCCGCATTCCTCTTGCGATTCATCACACTTGAGGGTTGTACAGCGATTCCCACATTAAAAGCAGGTTGCCGATGCTCTGTCATATATTCAAGTAAATGCAGTTACTTCACCTGTTTGTGATTGTTTAATGAATATCGACCAACAATTTAGAAAAACAAAATAGATACTTTAGTGCACTCGAATAAATACATGTAGATTTATTTCAGTAGTATGCAGAGTGAAACTGGATATTAATATAAACATTTGTGCAATAATAATTAATAATGATGCTATGAAAGTCACGATTAATTTCAAAAGACAATCACGAATTAAATATGTTTAGAAGGATGAGAATAGATGAAAATTATATCTAATGTATTCAAAAGCCAATATTGATATTAATAACAGTAATAATTATAAATACGAACATAAGCAGACTTCATATATATGGAGATGAACAGAAATAAAATAAAATAGATGTGAAAAGTTTCAAAGGTTACATTTCGCTTTTCAGTCAATTAGACGGATGACGGACCTTGTTTGTGTAAATCATTGTTAAATACATTGATATTCAATAGTTGACACAATCCACTTTCGGAAGAAAAATCATCAAACAGACTTCTAAACCGGGTCACAGTTTCACTGCAACGGCGGTTCACTGACAGTCTGTTCCACATGGTTGAGTAGCGAATAACGAAGAAATTCTGGCGTAAGTTTGTGTGGGTTCTTGGAATCGCTGGAATATATTCCTTATTTCGTAGATTGTGGAATGATATCATTATCACCGAAACAAATTATATTTCAGTTGTTGTAATGAAATCGCAATGGTTCTGTTTCAGATTTTTGAGATATATTACACAGACATTGCCTTTCATGACCCACAAATCCTGGTGTTTGCTTAACCTAATATACCGAGTGATAGAACCATGATGTGTGAATATCAATATAGTAAAATTGTGGATAGCTATTGGAGAATGCTTACACATACATTTAACGACGGACTGATCCAGAAAGGGATATATGGACGACAATATTTGACAAACCATATATCCACTCATTTATTCACCTGCTCACTCACTCGCTCACTCACTCACAGAACAAACAGTCCTATTTGTAGTCCTCAGTGATATCACTACTCAATGCAAAATGAAGTGTTGTCTATCAAACAGAAACAAAAGAGCGATTCTTGTAAATGATAGTTGAAATATGTTACTGAATATTTCAACAGTGAATCTTAGTGTTGATTATCTGTAATTTGAAATGTCGAAAGAATTGTATCGTGTTGAACATGTTTTTTGAAGATATTGCACTGTTAATGTTTTAAACTGAATCAGAAATTCAATAATATCATTTTCCATTTACTAGTTAAACACTTGCCACTTTCTATATCAGTAGTGATGTAGAGAATGCTTTGTGAGGATGTTATATGAAAAACACTATATCCGTAATCAGAAATTTTCAAGCCTTGATTTTACCGTACATGAAATGATGAAACGAATTATTATTCATTTAAGGGAAATCAGAATTTTATATGACTTTTTCTATTCAATGTATTACAGCTGTAAAAGTACCTGAAGTAAATGTTCCTGCACAATGGATATCAAGTGACACGTTGGTGGAAATTGAAAATATCGACGGTATGTTAAACCCTATTTAATCAGCATCAAACATTTCCGCACTTGAATACATCAGTTCTGTTTCATCACATTTTAAATTCCAAGCGTAATTTTATTTAGTCATTTAATGATATCCAGCAATGTGCCTATGTTGACGCTTTACTTGCCATTAATAATTACACGTCCATTTGCTGTTGAATATTCAAAATGTTTAACGACTCAACTTGAACTACTACAGAAGTCTTCACTTTCATAAAATTTACATAGAAATCACGCCACAAAACGATGTATGAGATAATCCCAAAAACGTCTGTCGTCTGTTGGTTGACTGTGTATCATAGTCAAAAATTGTGTACAATAACAAAATTGCTGACGATTTACACAATATAAAAGTGTTTTCTTTCTCATGAATATGTAAAGTGAGTTCAACATGTGTTAGAATATTGAAATAACATTTCGATTACCGAGAGAATCATTCAACGAATAAGTGTTCGGATCGCCTTCAGTATTTGTCGAATAAAACATTATTTTCACTAATCCAATCAACCTGATGTAGTAATTGACGTTAAACAGACTAGGATGGGGTTATATATTTCGAAACCTTCCATCATATAATAGATTGATGAAATATCTTTGTGGAAGCCACAATGATGATTTGAAAAACAAAGTCACACTTCCTTTGTCCTTCCATCGCATCAACAAAATCGGAAATCAGTTTTCGGCCTGGGAACAGCTGACCTTCATGCACTGATTTCGAAATAGTCAGTGCCAGTGGGTTTACAAAGTGATTCTCCACTTTACACGTGCACAAACGGTACACAAGATATTGATTGATGATAAAACTGATATCAGTTACACGTTTTGTTATTCACGTATCTTTTGTTTGATAACTTCAAATGCCGTCACCCTAATTTTTTCACAGTAAGTTGCTCAACACACAATTCAGCTGAAAAATGTCAAAACGCGACAACATCAGGTGTGAAATGTATCTGGTGTGAAAAAGCTAATACGTGCATTGACAGCAATGATGATGATAGTCATGAATTGGAAGTAAATGATTGTCATGTTGACGTAAGTATATGTTAAACTTCATAAGTTGTTTACAACATTGCTATATTTCACATTTTAAATCCATTTACATTTTATTAACATGAATACGTACTGATTCGTATTCATCCCACAGTGTTTAAATCAACACTATATCTGAGTTGGTCATATCTGATCAGATTTGCGTACAACACCTTCCATGATAACAGCACATTGAACATGAAGTGACTTCAGAAATTCAACAAGAAACTGTATATCTCTGTGAATTGCCATGGAATACCGATGAAATTGGTCTGAGTGATGAGGTGTAATCTGTCGCATATTGTGTATCATGTTTGAACAATTAGTGAGAGTTTGTAGACTCTCGTTGTTAAAGTGCAGAACAAGGATTTTCAATTCACAGTTGAGATATATGGATTCGTCAGTTTTAATTTTATTGATCTATATCTGATTTGTGTGCATATGTGATATTCAGGACGCGAATTCCTTCACAAATAAAACTTCTAAGTTAGTTGTTGGATAGTGGGAAATTATCACATTGACTTTCATGTAGGTGATGGATATTTTAAATGATAGTTTGTTAATCACGTCGTCTAAATGCAAACTGTGTAATTATTTACTAAATTCTCTTGTGTAAAATAAATGGTGAATTGATTAATCATTGCTTGATATTTGGTATTAATGACAAGGTTTCACTTTTTCAGACGAGCACACTTATTACCCAATCGACTACACTAGCAACCATCAAACAATTTGAAACCATTTCAGAAATCAATGAAATTCACACTGAAGAAGAAACTTATAAAACCACTGCAAAAACTGAACCTTATTCGGTAAATATTTGATATCTGACAATAATGCTACTATTTCACTTTTTCAGACGAGCTCGCGTGTTAACAAATCGAGTCTATTTGCAATAACCATTAAAAGTGAAACCGCTTCAGAAATCATTGAAATTCACATTAAAGAAGAAACTCATAAAACCACTGCAAAAACTGAACCTTATTCGGTAAATATTTGTATTTGTAATAGTATTAATGCTTCTGTGTCGTTTGTCTTTCAGAATATACCTCCAGGAACAACTGGACACAATAAACCTAATAGCACACCTCGTTACTTGTATATCGTGATACCAGTAGTCGTCGCTTTCTGTGTCGTATGCATCGGATGTGCTATTTGGATGTATAAGAGAAAGAACAGTCATCCATGATTTACAGAAACGTCTTATAGTTTGTTTTTATTATTATCATCGAAACGGTAAACAGTCCAATATTTCATTCGAGACCTTATTTTAGTAAAGCCTTTTTGTGTCATATTTCAGAAAGAGATGAATAGCTTAGTTGTTATATCGAGAAAAATGATTTCTTGATAAACCGCGTATAACGTGAGCACTAGAACACCAGAACCCTTCCAAGTCGCATTGAGAGGAGAGACTAATGAAAGGAATAATAATAATAATAATTTATATTCTGAAAAAATGATAATTACAGAATTCACGCCAGTTTACAGGCATGATCAATTTGATATAAATAATATCATTATATGTACAGAACAAACATGTGATATGAGTTTTAAGTTTACTAGTTCAGAAATTGTTTAGGTATTACAGCGATCCAATGTATCAGCCAGGAACATGTAATATTTCTTAACTGGACTGTCTGTTGATTTATAAACGATGTAATTAAGGTCATTTCGTGTGCCAGATCGATTTAATGATAAATATCTACAACTAGAGAAATTAAAACGAAAACAGAGAGCACGGAACAACAAAGCAGTAAGTACCGAAATATGTCAAACAGATCTATCAAAATGCGTATGTCATGTGACACAGTGATGTACTGTTGATGATATTCAAATTAGTTTAACTAGCTGATGACGGTATTAACATAAAGTGACAGCAAGTAGGTGGTTTTATCCAGAGAATGCACTGATAAAAATGCCTAAACATTTAAAGTTCCTATAATAACACTTGTGGAGTGAGATAAACTTGCGGGTGCTAGAGCATTCAATGCATTTTCGGAGGAGCAATATGCATCGATGCAACGTACAAATAATGTGAGTGATTTTATCGTACGGATATGTTCTGGTAGGTTATTCCAGAGTCTAGAAAACTTACAGGCAAAGTAATTCATATAAAGAGATGATTTAGAATAAGTTTGTTTCACAAGTGCCAAGGAATTACGGGTTTCATATTGAGGAGTTTCTGCGTATTGAATTAAGTGATTGGATGTAAAGGATAGTTTATTAAGTAGTTTGAAGAAAAAAATAAGATTTAGTTTGAGTCTTCTCTTCCATAAAGGGTCTAGCTCTAGTTTTTTGCATCTAGAATTATAAGTTAAGGAACAATCAGCTCTGAGAATACGAAGTGTAAATCGTCTCTGTACTGATTCCAGCCTTAATTTATCCTTTATGCGTGCACTGCTAAGAATAAACGTGCAATATTCTAGAAGAGGTCGAACACAAACTTTGTACATTAAAATTCGTGATTCATTGTTATGAAGGTTTCGAATTATGTAACCTACTAGACGTTGTGACTTGGAGATCTGTTTCGATATCTGTTCTGTAAGCGATAAGTCTTGGGAGTGTCTAAGTCCTAAGTCTACTACTGCATGTAACCTAGATAACACTTCTCCATGTATGGTAAGGTCTAGGTTAAGTGATGTATCGCCGAAGCATATCCATCCACATTTAGCCGTATTAAGTTCCAGTTGCCATTTTAAGCACCACTGTGCTACCTTATTAAGCTCCAAGTTAATGCAAGTTTGCACATTTTCCAGCTCATGTGGAGAAAATGAATATACTAGTTTAAGATCATCTGCATATAGAAGGGGCTTACCTACACAAAAATTTTCGCAAATGTCATTGATAAACACTAAAAAGAGCAAAGTGCCTAAGACACTACCTTGTATTACACCATTTCTAACTGGGACAGCGTTAGACAATGAAGAGTTAATTTTAACTATTTGATGTCGATTGCTGAGAAATGAATCAATCCAATCTAGCAAAGGATTTTGAACCCCATAAGATGCAAGTTTGCCTATAAGAAGTTGGTGGTTAACCATGTCAAAGGCCTTAGAAATGTCCAGATATAGCACTAAGACTAGATATCCTTGGCTACGTAGAGAGTAGACTAAATTAAAGAAGTCGAAATGACATGTCATGCAAGATCGCTCTTTGAGAAATCCATGTTGAGTATCATTGATAAAGTTTCCAGCGAGTAAATAGTTGGAAAGTTCATCACTTACAATTTTCTCCATAATCCTAGAGATCACTGGAGTAATATTTATTGGCCGATAATTGTTCATGTCAGTCTTATCTCCAGATTTATAACGTGGTATGATGTACGCGGTTTTCCAACAGTAAGGGTAAGAACCAGTTTCCATAGAGAGAGTAAACAGCTTTAGAAGAAGAAGTGGAATATCTGGACCACCGTATTTGTAGAGAAAGGATGGAATCCCGTCTGCTCCATGACCGCGCGAAAGCTTAAGGGCATTTATAGCCATATTAATTTTCTTACATGTGAAGGAGATAGATTTTATGGAGTTGCTGGTCACGCACGTAACTCTTGAAGCAGAGCCTCTTGTGGTTCCTACATCATTCGCAAAAGTAGCACTGGAAAGGTCTGCCATAGTTTTAGAGTCGTATATAAAAGTGTTATTATGCTGGATGCATGGTATATCAATATTTTGAGTTACTTTAGCGCGTTTATTGAGAAGTAGAGTTACGTTTTGTACTTTTGAGTTACTATTAAGTGCTAGTATCTCCTCATTAATGGCTTTTAACAAATGTGTCTCTTTAATTTGATTAAAAATTATTGTTATTTGTGCAGCTGCCGTGAAGTCGTTTGACTTGAAATAACGATTCTGTAGGTGTCTTAGTTTATTACGATATTTAGCTTGTATATATAATTCGTAAGGTTTAATAAACCTGTACGTTTTAAGAGGTACACAAGAATCTAAACAACAGTTAACGATCAAATAGAATTCGCCGATAGTATCTATGAGATTAGTACATGAAAACAAACAGTGTCGATTTTAGTACAAAACTGTCAGGTATTTTTAGTTTTTAGTAAGAGTGAAATCATCAATAGAATCCTCTGATCCTCATAGAGGATGTTATTAGTATTGTCCAATCGAGAAGCTAAACGAAAGAGTTTCAAAATTTTCGTCCGAAAAGTGTTTGGATGGAATGTTTTAGGCTCGTTCTGAGTCTCTTACTGCTTCCTCGAGTTCACCCGTGGTCCGTCGTCACACCTCCTCTTTTAAAGTCTGCTGTGTAATATTTCTTTCGCGGATCCACCTGAAACTTGGTTGACACATTCCTTTTGCGGTCCATCACCGAATTTATGTTGCAGATGCTCTGTCACGTATCCAATTTAATGCGGTTAATTTACCGGTACTCAATCATCCCGATATGGCTGCCGCCCAAGCAAACGATCCCTCCTATACAGAAGCACAACATTCTACATCCCTTCAGTGCCTGGAGGAACCCCTAGCTACTAGCTCAGGTAACATATCGTGTGTTATTTTACTGGTTTTCCTTGACCAATCATGCCCTCCGCTTACACTAGACGCCCTGCATGGAGTGTCTCATTCAAATATCGCGGCTACATTACGTCTCATTGCTATACGATACGTCTGGCCGTCCATGAATAAAGTTGTCTGTATATGGGTAAAGCAATAATTACAATATCAACTATCAAAAGTGCACAGGCACGTAGCTGCTCCGACTGGCACGTTCGCTACGCCTGATTCTCGCTTCGATCACGTTCATACAGACATTGTAGGGCCATTGCCACCATCACACGGCCATGATCACATACTCAAGTGCATCGATCGTTCCACAAGATAGTTCAAAGCTATTCTTATCTCGTCTAATACGTCGGAGACCGTTTCTCACCGCTTCGTAGAACGATGGATAACTCTGTGCGGTTATTATTATTATTAGGCGTGTTTATCAACACATAACAAGAATAAACGATATTGTATGTATCGTCAATTTAGTAAAAAAAATAAAATTGAAAATAATTAAGAAAAACAAATTGTTATTGCAGTAAGAATAGACGTTAGATCAAATGTTTGTGCAGTCATGGTTTGCAGTGATGCTATGAATGTCACAATTACGTTAAAAGGATAATCAAATATCAATATGTATGAGTTATGCATGAATAGTGAATGCCACTGTCCGCTTCTGAATGATGAAATAATTTTTGATAATTTATCGGTTTAGTAAACTATTATGGATGGATTATTTCGGACTGTGCAACACCATTGCCATCGATGTCATTCAGCTATTGACAACATTATCAGACATTCCATCTGTTGTTCGAGGCTACGAGGGATTCGAAAATGTCAAGGAAGCGCTAAACAGTAAGATGGCACTAGTTAAACAAAATCGGGAAACGATATCGGCCATCAAAATTGATGTATCGATCGAGTCAGTAAGAGTCTTATTGCAGCATTTACCAAATGATACATTGGAACCATCTCTATCTTTCTCAAAGAGCTAGAATGTCACTTACACAATGTATAAAGTGCTCGGAAAAGCAATTCTAGTGGTTGAATACGCAGTAATATATATTCTCTCTTCAAATTATGCTCTTTATTATGAATCCAATGCCTATACTTATCTTTTCTCCTCTCATTCTCTGTGGAATTCCAACAGTACTCTTTCAATCGCCTTAATTCTTCAAGGCTTCAATCAATGTGTAGAAAGTCAGTTATTTCTGAATAAATGAACACAACTAAGCGTGTTCCAATCAGATGTCCACATTCATGAATAAAGTAATACCAATTTCCTAGAGGCGACACACAGGCCTCAGACAATGGCAGGTGGTTGCACATCCTCGTGGATTTCCTGAAATTAGACACCAACACTGTTGTATGTCAACTAAGTGGTCTAGTGTTGAAGCGTCGGCGCGTGAGATCAAAAAACGTGGATGCGCACTGCCGAGAAGTCACACATAGGGTCGAAAAAGTCATCCAGTGCTTCCACGTTTTCAATTATGGTCTAACATTCATCGATTGATATTCTCAATCGAAATAAGAGTCAAATGTAAAAGTGTTGTTTTTGACATGGACTGAAAGAAACTAGACTTGACGAGTAATAAATGGATGAATGAAGTTACAATCCCATTTCACATGCGGAAACACTGATGCTCGGAGTCATCATCGTTGACTGGTTTCAATGGAACTTGATGTGAAGTCTGTTTATTGTAACAAATACATTGTGTTGTATGTTCGTCACAAAGCCGTTTCTGCACGCATCGAATTCATCGACACAGTCACAACTCACAAAGTCATTTCTTGATATTACCCCATCAAATCGGTAAATCATTAGGACGATTTGTCTGAAGCTATTCATTTCACATCTTCAACAAATATATCTGAATTCTTTGTAAACACCATGGTCAAAGTCAGTCGATTGATTTGTTTACCGATTTGTTTATTGAGCAGATGAATTCTCAAATTCCATTTGTGAACAAACACTCCACAACACAAGTCATGTGTTCTTAGCGTCGATTGGTTTGGGAGTAATGATAGAAAATATTGCACAGAATTGTACATCTCTCGGGCTTTGAAGACTCAACACCTGACATTCATTTAAGAGAAATCGTGTTTGTTCCGCTTACACGACGTTCACTAGATAATATTTATTACGAATTCAACAGAAGAAAACATTTGGGATAACACGGTATATGTTTGCTTAAATTCAGTATTTTTTGTGAGTAGGCATATACAGTGTCACACCTAACAATAACACGCTCATCATTATTCCGCAAGAATTCTAAATATCAATCGTCTTTTGTTTGCAGATATTGTAGCCAAGATAACCAATGTGATGCATTCCAATGGGAAGATATCCTTTTATTATGAGAACGTAAGTTGTACAATTGAATGGAAATATAATTTTGTTTCAAGTACAATGAATAATAACACTTTTTTGTGCGTATCAATACTGTCGAATGTATCAAGATACATTTAACACGATAGATAGAGATCAACTTTTGTAATGTGCAAACAAACTACGTGACACTATTATTAATCTTTTAATGACACACACTTTATTGTACCACTTGCTAAAAACAGTGAATAATTAGAAGTGAACAGTCATCAAAGGAAACGATGAAGTCTTTGCGACAAATAGGGACAAACAGTGTTCTTTAGAGTACAGCACGGAAACAGTCATATTATGACAAGATCTATTCAGTCTTCTGAAGAAAAGCTGTCCGGAAAGTACACTGCAGAATACTCTGAGATATTTATTGTTTAAGCTGTTGATCGTTTCACATTGCGTATATTTTTGAATGTCAGTGTTTCATACTTCCAATACTCCTTTTCAGATTCCCACGGGAATGAAAGAAAATGTACTGTACTCTAAGATTCAAGGTGTGATTGTGTGTGGGAAAAAGTTGGGAGGTAATAAATATCTCAAGTATTTTGATATGGTATAACCCCATCAACAGTTTTGTGTTAACGTTATATTAGCTTCCATTCGTACACGGTTGTCTGCATGTCAACATTGTAACCTGCTGTTTTCCCTCACAGTGATCATATATAACTGTATTGCTGTCTACATTGATTGGTTGATTTGAATGTAAGACAAATCGATCGAAGTGCGATTCAAGTGTTATGGATAACCGTGCAGAATAAAGTTGAAGTACTTTTCGCAAACACACTGTCCAAACATTACTGTGTTCTGGATATTAATCGTCAATAATATATTTACAATTCTAGAACGGAATTTTCGTAGTTACATCTGATATATAATCTTAATAAAACCCAATAATGAATATCTCCAATGTCTTTGAACAATGGACCACTGTAATTAACTGTATTGAAATCAAAGTACCTGTGATTTTAGTTCAACAACGGTCATCCTTATCACTGAAACAAATTAGATTTGAGTTGTTGTGATGAAATCGTTATGGTGCTGTTTCAGATTTTTGTGATAAATTACACGGACAATGAATTTCACGATCCACATTTTCTGATGTTTGCTTAACCCAATATACTGAGTGATAGAACCATGATGTGTGAATATCATTATAGTAAAATTGTGGATAGCTATTGGAGAATGCTTA